GTTTGAGAGAAACTTGGTACAACTTTTATTTTGATAGATGTTTTGAATTTTTAAAACTTTGAGCGAAGTTACCTCGACAACCACCAAGTCAATTTCGATGAACTTTTTTTTATTTAAATTCTACGAATATGTAGAATTCAAATAAAAAAAAATTCATCGAAATTGACTTGGTAGTTGTCGAGATATCTTCGCTCAAAGTATTAAAAATTTAACAAATTTTAATTTACAGGGGTAGGGGTACGAATAGCAAAATTGGGGGGTATGTATAGCAGCCGCCTAAAATAAACTTTATTAAATAAAATTTTAATTTCTGCATATTAAATTTAGTTTCCGCAAGTATATTATTAATTAAAAATGTAATCCGCAAATTAATAAATAATTCCGCAACTTTTATTAAAATATTAAATGTATTTCGTATATAATTTTAAAATTCAATTTTAAACACTGGGTTCAGCTCACTTCACCGACGCTTATTTCGTAGAAATAACATTTCACCGACATCCATTTTCCATTTCACCGACAGGTTAATTCACCGAAACTCTTTTCACCGACAAAATAATTCTGGTCATTGTCGTTAGGGTCCGGCTAGAACTAAAGTTAAGGTTAGTGGAATTTATAAAAAAAATTTGTCATTAAATGAGCTTCGGTAAAATAAATTGTCGGTGAAATAAACTTGTCGGCGAAATAATTGTCGGTGAAATAAACTTGTCGGTGAATTTTTGTCGTTGAAATGTTATATCTACTAAAATGACTGTCGGTGAAGTGATACGTATCCGGAGAAAAGACATTAACAATTGCGCTTTGCAAGAACACCATGCTTACTCTCTAAATCTCAAATATAATCTTAAACCAAAGAAGGAAGTAAATTAACAAAATCACTGCTTGTTTTTTGAATCTTACAGTAAATATAATAAATTGGGCCCGAAGGAGGAATAGAATTAGCAGATTCATATTGCATGAACAACACGCTGACTTCTTTGAACTTCATAAAAAAATAGCTACATTTAATTAAAGAAAATCTTGCGATTTGCACCCGGGTATATTACATAGTGGGTCTACTATCGAATGTGGTATTTTATTCGGCCATTTACAGTAGATATAATCATTTGCTTAAATAGTATGATTTAACGTAACTTAGCATCGCACTCGGACTCTATAAGTATAACCACATTTTAATTCACTTTATGATCACGAACAATTGACTTGGCGATGAATTGCTGATAATATCATTTCTTGAGATTTATCGTATTATATCGTAGTTTCTCTCTATCTGCATTGATTTGAGGCAAACAATCTGATTGCTAAATAGTGATCATGGTTATTATTTATTGCAGTTTGCAAACTTATGAATTTTGCAAATCACTTGATTGTCGGGTGATTCGTTATCTTATATTAAAATTGTTACCGTATTTACGCGAAATAACGCACATGGGCGTTATTTTGAAAATTGCATTTCCTTAAAATAACATAGTTTCAAAATAACGCCCATGTGCGTCCCGAAATAACGCACACCCCATATACTAATGTTAATAAATCACTCCGATATTTACCATCAGTGATTGGGGCGTATCCTTTGCCTCGAAATAACGCCCATGCGCGTACTCGAAATACGCGCATCTCCTCAAAATAACGCGCAGATGTGCGTTATTTCGCGTAAATACGGTATATAGGAATCGGAATCGCCCAACAATCGAGTAATTCCTTTTTTTCAGTATAATATATAAAAAATATACTGAGGGCGCCAGTGGCCCCATTTACACTTGTATATTCATAAAATTATGGCTTAATTGAAGAGTAATAAAGTTTAAAATAAAGTTTAATAAATTACTATCTGAATCAAAGATCAAACCTAATAAAACCTTAAGTATAAAGTTTGATTATGCAAGACAACTTAAATAGTATTTTCAATGTTATTTTAATATTAAAAAAATATTAGAATTTTGAATATACTAGAAAAAAGTTGATTTAGTTAATATAAATATTGAATAGTTATTACAAGATGTTATAAATATCTTTCAATCTTCCAGGAACCAATATTTAATATCTTTTTCCTCATTTCTCCAAATAAATTTACAATTTTCAATTGGCCAAGATTCAAATCCACTCTTGTTTAAGAGTTGAATTTGAGGATATGGTTTTGATTTCATTTTTTCTGATGTTTCTTTCCAGGAATTTGTAATTTTTGAATCATCATAAAAACATATATACCTCGCTCTTATTTTATCTTTAAACTTAGAATCTAAATTATTAAATTCTAATGATTTTTCAAGATGAGCAAAGTCATGTATCAATTCAATTTGAAAACGATATACACCACGTTTACTATCTTTTAATGCATTTGAAAAGGCGTCACTTTTTTTAAAAAAATTGGAAGTTAGTAAGGATAATAGCAATAAATTACAAAGTTAAGAACATACCTCATAAATGAAACTATTATATTTTGTAATATAACCACAAAAATAAAACTGCCAATTACGCTAATTATAGTAAGTGGCCAAAAATTCCAAGTATCTAGTGAAATTGAAGACCATTCATATACTGCAAGTATAGCATCAATAACATTTGAAAATGGATTATCTGGTTTCTCGCTTGTCATAGTATAAACTTCATTTCCGTTAGTTACTTCGTATGTTGTCTGAGATTGATTTAATCCAATATAAGACGAATAGCCGAGAAGAATAAATCTAGATATAGACAA